TTGAGGTCCTTTTATAATTTCCATCGCCCCACATGGTCTCAGAAAAATTCTTGTCACTAAGCTTCTAATTTACTGATTCAGTTTCCTTTTGCTCACAGTCTCTCATTCATCTCCAAGAAAACTTCCCAACTCTCTGATCATTATTTATTTCTTTATAGCTGACCTTTGATTCAGACTTGAGAATATGAATTATGAATTACTTTTCCTTATGCTTATAGTAACTTTTACTACAGAATGTTCAAAAAATGACCCACTTCTTCAAACTGTTGATTCATTCACTGTGTTTTTTTTTTTTTTTTTAATTATGTGTTCTTACAGGCTGTAAATTTAGCATTAGTACTGAGTTAAGTCCCAGTGAGGGCAAGGTAAGTTCATGTAAGTATTTTCCAAAAGACTACGTTTTCTTTCAAGCCATCCATTCCATAGTCCCTGCATCATCATATGTTAAAACAACTGGTAGTGTTTGGAGCTTCAAGTTTAGTTGACCTGCATTTTTTTTTTTTTTTTTGTCTGGCCATCAGCTTTTCTCAGGGAAAAGCATACTTCTACATTTGGGAAAATATATTCTTCCACTCTAACATATGTGAATGGACTTTTTATCTACTGCTTTCAGGGATTACTGAGGAATGAATACTTTAATCCAACTGAGGCATGGTGTTCTCCCCTGTGTGAATGAGGTGGTCACATGAATGAAGCTGAGTCAATCAGAACCTTGTGAGATTTTCCAAACTGGATCAGCAGGGAAGAGCTGTGTGTTTTTGTTGTCTAGTACGAGCAGATATGACCCAGGAGCCAGTGTGACTACAATGACAACTAGGAGGAGATCCCTAGTTACCCAAAATATGTGGGTGCCCAGAAAGAAACAAATGAAACTACGGAGGGTTAGTTGTAGCCTACCTAAGGCGTGGTTGCACTTTGACATTACTGGGTTCCTGTACATGGTGTTTCTACATTCTTGATTCCCCTTTCTCTCCTTCTCATCCTTTGCCCTTGGTCCCTTGGTCCCTTGGTCCTCTTTCCTATTGCAAGAGATTCATCCCCTTGTCCCCTTTTACCCATTCTTGATTATTCTCTTAATTGGTACCTTGTCTCACTCAAATGAAAGCTACCTTGCATATGGTATTTAAGCTAACATTGTGTAATTTCAAACAAAATGAACTTCAGAGCAAGGAAAATGATCAAGCATAAGGAAGAGCATTACAACATGATAAAACAGAAAAGTCTTGAAAGAAACATAGTAATAGTGAATGTGCATTTTTCTAGCAACAGATCAAAATATATGAAGCTAAAACTGATAGACAAATCCACTACTACAGTTGGAGACTTCAACACCCCTCCACTAATAGTAAGTGACAGAACCATCAAACCAACAAGAATAGGGTCAAAATGGAGAGAGCCATCTATCAGTCAGCCCCAACTGATCTTTACAGAAGGTGTCATTCACCAACAGCAAAGTGCAAATCCTTAAGTTCCTAAGGAACATTGACCAGGGTGTACCATGTTTTTGGCCATGAAATGCACCTTAACAAATTTAAAAGAGCAAAAACCATGTGATGTCTTACCTCATAAGGAAATAAAACTAGAAATCAGTGAATAAAAATAAATTGAATTCCCACTGCCCAAATATCTGGAAATTAAATACTATATTTCTAAATAGCACATGATTCAAGTGTTAATAGGAATTTTTAAATATTTTGAGCAAAATGAAGATGAAAACATAAGTTATCAACATTTGTAGGGTGCTTGCTTCTGAATTTTCTCTGCTGGTACATTTATTTTGTCGGACAATACCAAACAATACTGATTTTATTATCACAGCTTGATAATATGCATACAGGGAACTTCCCGAGTTATTGTATATAAATTTTTTCTTGCATAATTTACCATTGATTTTCCATTTGTAGTCATATGCTGCATAAAGACATTTTGGTTTATGATGAACTGCACATAGAGCAGCAGTTCCGTAAGATTATGATGGAACAAAAAATCTTATCACTTAGTCATGTCATTGCCGTTGTGATACTGTAGAGCAGCCCATCCCTGGAATGTCCGTGGCACTGGCAGACTTACTACACCGCCAGTAACGAGAACCACAGAACATATGTGCAACATATGATGACCCACACTCATAATCTCAG